GCCTGCATCGGCCTCTCAAAGTGCTGAGATTACAGGCATGAGCCACTGCACCTGGCCCCCTGGCTAATTTGTATACTTTTAGTAGAGATGGGATTTCACTATGTTGGCCAGGCTGGTCTCAAACTCCTGACCTCAGGTGATACACCCGCCTTGGCCTCCCAAAATGCTGCGATTACAGGCGTGAGCCACCGTGCCCAGCCCCAAGATCAGTATGGATGTGATGGGGAGTGGCTCCAGGACTTAAGGACACCATAACCCATTCAAGGAAATATGTTTTATATCATAACTGCGTGCATATATGTCCATAAATTCTTAGGCAAACCCAGATACAACTGCAATGGAAACAGCTGTCTCATGAAATAACATTTAACATGATACTTTCAGATATTTTCAATTACATTATTTTTTTTTATGCTGGTTGCAACCTACTCCTGATTCACCACCCACAGGTTGAAAACCCACTTAGTGCACACAGACGCGCCAGGGCTGCAAATCGCACAAAGGGAACGATCACAACAAACAGCTACCTTTTGTGAAGCTTACAACAGGGCTGGGCGCTGCGCCAAGTGACTCACACAGATTAACAACTTTTATCCTCACACCAATCCCACAAGGCAGGTGCCACCATCAGCAACCCCCAGTTCACTGATGGAGAAAGGGAAGCAGGCAAGGTGAAGGAGCCTGCCCAAGTTCCTGAGCTGCTCAGCAGTGGGGCTGGCCTCCGCAGCGCCCCAGAAGCAGGGAATGAAGGGTCCAAAGGGAAGGAGCCCCTGCAGTGGGGTACCCACAACATGGGCCAGCACTGAGCAACCCTGAGAAGCCAGTCTGCCCCCACACTGCTTCTTCCCAGGGCTGAGACTGGGACCTACCTCAGGTGGGGTCAGCCCGAGCAGCCGGGCCCCTGAGAGGTCCAGGTCACTGATGGTGGTCACGGTGACTGTGTGGTTGGGGTGGTCATACTGCACCGACTCCGTCTTTGCTGTCACCAACCGGTCCAGCTCATCTGCCTCCTCTGTGGGGGTGGACACAGACCTGGCGTCAGCCAGGGGAACGAGAGACCAGGCTCCAGCCTCCCTCCCTCGCGGGAGTGCAATGCCTCCTCTACTCTGTGGATGTGGAGCGCATCCACAAGGTCACTGGCTGTAGAGCCTGGTCTGCGGATGCATGTTGTGAATGATCCTGTTTCCTTCATGCTCTAGCTGGTTCCCATGTCAGACAAACCCTCTATGACAGCTACAGCTGTCCCTCCCCTCCGCCCCTAGTCCTTTCCATCCTCAAAAACTGGGTTCTCTGCTCATGCTTGGTTAACCGTGGGGTTTGGGCCTCCTTCTCCTGGTCTCTGTTCCATTTGCACTTAGAGGTGCTTAGGACAACCCCTGGCCCCAGGGTACCCCCCAAGATCCCTAGAGCTAAGGAGGTCAGCTTCTATCCCTTCCACCCACCAGGCCCGTCAGCTGTTCTCCAGGTCAGGCCAAGCAAGCCACTTACCCAGCGCCTCTTCTCTCTCTGCCAGCATCTTCAAGTATTCCTGGTGGCGCTGAAACCACATGGGCAGGGAACACAGTGAGTATGGCCTC